CAAAACCCTAAATTGCACTACAGTCAACTGTAGGGGCAAAATGGTCATTTGGCAGTCAAAAGTTCAAATTTTTGGTCAACATATCATTTTGAAGCCACAAACATCATTTGATCAATGCTTGATCATGATTCTCAAAATTTGGCTCAGAAATCATCAAAGATGCAAAAGTTGCTATATTTGGACAGCTGAAAAAGTCAACTGAAATTGACCAGGGCATAACTTTCACATGGATTATCAGAAAAATCCCATCCAAAGCTCATTTTGAAGAGAAAGACATTTCCTACAACTCATCTTCATACTTCAAGTCCAAGAAATGCTCTCACAAAAAGTTATCAATTTCAACATTATAGGTCATTTTCAAAAGTCAACAAAAAGGGACTTTAAGTCAAAGGCCATAACTTGAGATTGGTAAATCAAAATGACATGGGACCAAAGGCATTGGTTAAAGGACTCAAAGACCTTTCCAAAATGTCCAAGAACATGTGAAAAGCTTAAAAATTGAGCAAGTTATGCCTTGTAGAAGTTGGGAAATTTTTGTGAAATGGAAAAAGTCAACTATCCTTGAAAATCAAATTTTTGACAAAAGGGCCCCATTTTTTCCACTTGGTTCATCCTTGTCATGCCACACACGTGTCCCATGGTTAATTTCAAGACCAAATATTGGTTTTTCCATTTTATTTAATTTTTAATAATTTAATTCATTTTAAATCTTTGAAAATTCAAATAAAATTCAAAAACCAATGGAATAGTGTCATGTGAACTTGGACGATTTCTATGTATCATGGGCCAACAAAAAAACTCAGGCTAGGGTTAAGTTTCACACTAGGTCTAGGTCTTGGCTAAAAAGAAGGAAAAATGGTCAATGGTAAAAACCCTAAGACTTGTTCATTCATGAGCTTGAATCTAGGTCAAATAACTAGCCAATTCCATTCCATGATCATCACTAAGTCAAACCCTAACCACAAGAGACCAAATGCTGCGCTGAAAAGCCATTGGACATTTTGAAAAATTGGCCATATAATGCAAAACTGATTTCAAAGTTAGGGGGATTTTTAAGCCTTGATTCATATACCATTAGCATCCTGAGGCATCACTGAACACATCCCAACCCTTAACCTCAATCAAAACGCGAAGAAACGGTAGTTACAACTCAAACTGTACAGAACATTTTTTGAAATCGTATTCTCAATTCTAAGCATCTTCATTGCATTTCAATTGTACATTCTTGTTCCATGTGAAGTTTCTAAGCTAACCAACATGTTCAATTACGTTTTCGTGTCATATATGCGTTTTTGCCATTGTTGAATTTCTAGGTTTTTCAGATTCAAAATTAGGGCTTCTCAAACGAAGCAAAATTACGCTTCCAGACCAGTGCTATTGGCTTAAGCAGGCTGAGACGAAGAAGATTGCACCCTCGCGCTCAATTTATGAGCGACGAGGGGCTATTCGCTATTTTCTGATAGAGGCCCTAAGGAAACATCCACAAAACCGTTGCCAATGTGTTTTAGTTACAGGGACGATGAAGACGAAGGCATCGTGTCAGCTGGTGATTGATCCATTCAAATTTCGCGCGAATTTCCAAAGCCATTGATGTTTTCTTTTTATAATATTTATTTACTATTATATATTAATTGAAAGTGAAGTGGTTCAGTGGCAGAGGGAAGCGCTTGCAATGCTTATGACCTGGGTTCGAATCCCAGGCCTTGCAAAATTTCAATATTATTTTTCAATATTCATTCCTATGCAGGCACGCTCATAAGGACCACCATACGTCCTCCTCATCTATTGTCCACGCGTCCTAAACGATCAGATCCATGGCCAAGAGTCAAGGTGCATCATACACCAGGTCAATACGCTGACATAGGATCCAGGAAAGTCAAACGAATGGCATGCTTATTGGGCCAGATTACCAGGCCTTACCTCCTGAATTGGGGACTACCCCCCCCCTTGGTTTGCCTTATTCTTTTATTTTTTTTTTTTTTTTTTCTTTCTTTAATCTTTCTTTTATTTCTTTTATTTGCTATTTATTTAGTTAATTATTTTTTTTAACAAAATATAAAAACCTTCAAAAAATCAGAAAAGACCAAAAAAAATATAATTTTTATTTTAATTATTTTCTAAATAAATGTTTGTAATTATTTAGTTTTAATTAGGTTTTTAATTTTAACCTTTTTAATAAAAATCCAAAAAAATTAGAATTTAGGATTAATGACTTTTATTTTCTTTTTTTTATTTTTCCCTTCTTTTTCATAATAATAATGTTATTTATTTATTTTCATAAATTAAAAAATGTACATAAATTAATTTAGAATTAAATTAGGTTAAAAGTCAATATTTTCATAATAAACTTAAAAAACAATAGAATTAGGTCTAATATTTAATTTAATTTCAATTAACTCCTTTTTCTCATTAAACCTAAAAACACAAAAATACCATTTTCATTTAATTTTAATTTTAAATTCCTTATTAATGTTAATTGTTTGTAAAAGGGTCCAACGCCCTAGCTTTGTTTAATTCCTTCAATTTGCGCATTTATTTTATATCGTTTAAATAATTATGTATATGCCCCAAAGCCTTGTAAAGTTATTTCTCGCACTTTTTTTATTCGCTTTATTTATTTTCAGTCAAATCGGGTTCGGTTATTTTTGGCGATGTGGACCCGCGCCAGTTGTAATAGTTTAGATTTATTTTCTTGCAAATATATAACTGTTAATAAATATGCATGAAAGAATGTATGGCCCTAAAAAATAAAATCAAGCGTAGATCACAACAAACATGACAAGACAAAATAATTGAAACATGACACACGAACTGCACACACCACCCCTAGGGTACGCCTCACTGTTGCCTTTCGAAAGGTGATCGTCGAGTATAGGACGTCTTAGTAAGTCCTTATGTTCCATTGATCTAGTTGCCTCGAAACAAGTTGCCTCGGAATAGTTGCCTCGGAATAAAAGATCAATGGCATAAGGGTAGCTTCTAAGGTGTCTTCCCATTGCTCCGGTGATCACCATGTCCCTAAACCTCGAATTGACCCGAACACCTCCAACGGTGGTGCTACCTACCTCTCAATGGTGGGATGGCACTACTTTAAAGGACATCTACACAGACGAATTCCTTAGGGTAGGTAGGTTCTCAAGGATACTTGCTCTAATTTCAAACAAATCAAAACATCTTTTCACACCGACACATTTTCAAAAGCTTTCAAAGTAAACTTTTCAAACACTCTGACGTACGAGTTGAACTGAAACTTTTCAAAGAATATTTTTGAAACCCACATTGAAAAGCAAACAAACATTTTGAAAACACATTGAGCAAGTATCTAAGAGCCCATGGATAACCATGGATAGAAAGGGTGCTAACACCTTCCCTTTCTATAACCTACCTCCCGAACCGAGAGCAATCTCTATAAGGAATTTTTCTGTGCTTTTGTCCTTTCCATTTGGAGAAAATAAAAGACGGTGGCGACTCTTGCTTACCGCGACATTTCGCGAACCAGCGTTAAACAGTCAGTTCCAGATCCACCGATCACAATACCAATTTGTTGAAACAAAGGGTTTTCAAGAAAGATGGTTTATGGAGGAGGAATGTGTGTGTGTGTGTGTGTGTGAGAGAGAGAGAGAGAGAGAGAGAGAGAGAGAGAGAGAGAGAGAGAGAGAGAGAGAGAGAGAGAGAGAGAGAGAGAGAGAGAGAGAGAGAGAGAGAGAGAGAGAGAGATTATTGTGAGTTCTAACTGAATTATGAAATTGCTATTAACTATGTGTGTATTACAAAACAGAAAGCCCTTTATATCGGCACAAAATACCCAGGCCTAATTCGTCAAAATATGCTAAGACCCAAACATGATTTCGATATACTACAACAACTGATGTATTCGACTATGTCAAATGCAGTACAACTTATATATCACTAATTATTCGACAGAACAAAAATTATACATTCTAACAAGAGTTGATCCAACAGTTTTCCGCACTCCCTAAAAGCGGTTTTAACTATCAACCATATATATAAACTTAATTTTACATCATACTAAGATACAATTTATTCTAATTTGCAAATTACATTTTCTCTGATATTGATGACTCGATGGTTTAAATACTCACATACTAGAGACCCTCATCATCATACCAAAAAGATTTCAAAACAGACTTTATGAACACATTACCAATTTTCTATTCCACGTCGGAATAGATTGTCATTAGACAAATCAAATAGCCTTGAAAAATGGGAAAAGAACAATTATGGTAAAGAGGAACAATTTTTCCGTTATGAAGAGAAACAGTTTTTTGTATTTTTGAAGGGAATTAATTTTGGTTGAGTTACTCCGATTAATTATTTTTATATAATTTAACCGTCAAATTAATAATTTTTAGTTATTAGATCAAGTTTATAAATTTTAAAATTATTTTATCTTTTATTAAGAAAATTCAATTCAACATATCATATATTTTTCAAAATACAAATAAAGTATTGACTAGAAAATTTTATAGTGATACATATCTAATTTTTTAAATTCATAATTACTAAAGTGATATAAAAATATTCAATGGTTGAAATATAAAAACATTCAATTCGGATACTTCAACGACTTAAGTTCGAGTTATTCTACTCATTGTTGGTTAGAAATATGTGATACAAGGACTTAGCTTATAACAGAAATCTGAATGCATATAAATTAAAAAGCCAACGAAGTACCTTTTGGTTAGTTGGGCATGAAACAATCAAGAGTCAATACATCAAACTTAATATTGTTGAACAACAGCTTATATCCACACCAACCGTAATAATAACACTAATAAACTCATTCAAAATCTGCACTTCATCCAAATATTTCTTTTTAAAAATCTGTTTAATACAAGTGTAACCATGTGTGACAGTAGAAACAGACCTTAATCTCCATTTCTAAGAGGCATGCTATAAACTTTCAGTCGACAGTAATTTTTCTGTGCTTTGCACGGGTTTTAAATACTAGTATAATATATATACCAGTTCCATCTTTACTAGCATTCAACAAGCAAGATAAATAGCTCTTCGTCAGTTATTGCTCCCAACTCCATTGCTCTTTCAAGTGCAGTATGTCCACCAGCATCTTTAATTGATGGTTTTGCGCCCCTGGTAAATTCACATGTTAGTTTATGCTTTTATTGGAATTATGTATTAGCCAGAAATACATGCTGCAATACAAGTGTGTATCTCACACATAAAACATGTAAATAATGCAAAATAGTTCCGGACATTTAAGAAATCATAGATGGAATCTCAGCTGGTTGTTCAGCAATAAGTTGTCATAAATATAGCATTACCTTCTTAGTAAAAACTTAGCCAATGAATTTTTCCCACTAGAAATGCAACGGTGCAAGGGAGTCCTTCCATGATAATCACGCATGTTTATATCAGCGCCGAATTGGAGCAACAGCTCAACCATTAATGTACTGCCAGAATGACATGCTAGGTGTAATAAAGACCAACCGCGGAAACAACTCTCTGTTTCATTAGCCTCCTTAATCCTCAGACAGGCTTCAGGATCATGCTGATGATTTTCAGTCTCTGCATGGGAAACCGCCTCTTCAAATTTTGTGTTTATAGGATTTGAAGTTGATGTTACAATAAGGCGATACACTTCTCGTACAGTTATAGCCTGAACTGCTTGCCATATTTTTGTGGAAACTGAAGGTTTTTCGGGTATGTCCTCTTCCCGGATGACTAGTGATTTCTCTGCATACTGATTAACAAAACATAAGTTACAACAATATTTACCTCAGTATAAATATTGAAGAAAACAGAGGCTTTAATCAGATAACATGGCACAGAAATTATAAACTGGCATATGATTAGTAGAAATAATGTATGAGATCAGAGAGCAATTCTTACGAACAAAAGTGGTCTCTCCATATAAGTAACACTGTCAAATGTCTTATTTCTATTAGTAATGAAACCAGTAATTATGTCCAGAAAGATGAAGTCAAATCCACAAAATACTATTCGTTTCCAATGGAAGGCCAAACTATACATAGTTGATAAATGATAACTACATCCATAAGACTTTTGATAATTTTAGAAACATTTGTAATCGTGAGTGTTGGTTTTTTTGGGTATTAGTAAATATATTATCGAATTCACAACAAAATAATTTTTAAAAGTTTCCTCAGTGGCCAGAAGAGTCATTATATAATGGGAAAAAGAATACTTATTTAACAGACAAACTAAAAAATCATCATAATTACATTATTTCACTCGTGTCTGATGTCTTACTGTGACATATCTAAAATACCAATAATCAAGCTGCCCCTATTACAGTAAACCATGAAACCTACCAATAGAAAAGTGAAATTTAACTGAAAGTGCTTACCTTTGCTTGGATGTACTTTTCTTTATATTGGGAGGGATCTGTGGAACATGGTTTCAAAGGCACATTTGATTCACCTACTCTGCAGATAATTATTCCCAGAAAATAAAGGTTTACAAGCTCAGCTACTGAATAACTCAACGAGAATTAAAGCGCATACTGTACATTGCATTAAAGAGAATCAAAAGTATACCTTTCATCACCAAGCAGAAGCAAGCCCTCCCAAATAGAATTACAAAAAGTATTACCTAAATTATTGAATAACTCCAAAATGGTAGGTTCCCAAACCTTCACATCTAACGTTATAGATCTCACCTGCAGTTGGTAGATAAAATTTAATGACCGTAAGGAAACGGTTAACAATCAGGACTCATAAATTTCAAGTCAGAAATCACCTTATTTATGAAAGATTCAGTTCAACTATAAAGACAAACAAAAGTGTAGATTATTTCTCAAAAGTTGAAACCTAGGTTGTCGATGGCGCGCTATAACAGCGATATAGCGTAGCAGTGCAGGACCTCGGCGCTACGCTTTTGGCCTGCTAACCGCTATCTGCGATAGCGGAAATAGCGGCCGCTATTTGGGAAGTCGTGGCGGTGCTATGGCGGCGCAATAGCAGTTCTGTAGCACTTTACAGACCGCTATTGTGAAGATGTGGGCAATATTGCAATTTTTAATTTTTTTAAGGAAAAATTGGTATTTTTTCCTTTTATTATAAAATATGATATTGATGCTTTAGGTCATTATCATTTCTCTCTTCACTCAAATTTAACAAACGGTGGAGCCTAAGTTACCGTTCTCTCATTGCAAATTTGCTTCTTCAATTTTCTTCTCAACCTAAAAATCAGCTAACGACTAAATCTCAGCTTCACTCAAATTCAACAAACGGTGGAATCTAAGTTACCGCTCTCTCTCTCTCTCTCACTCTTCGCAAATCTGCTTCTTCCACTTTCTTCTCAACCTAAAAATTAGCAACAGCTAAAACTCAGCAAGCGGTTAACACAGTAAGAGTTACTAAACATAACTCTAGATTTGCTACATAGGTGTCTAATGGAGATGCGGAGTTGGAGGTGGAAGAAGAAGAGTTTGAAGTTGAATCAAGTGATGAGCAAGATGATATTAATGTGGTGGAACTTAGAAGGGAAAATGAGGCGGATGTGATTTAGTCATTGTTTATGTTTAGAATTTGGTTTAGTCATTTTGAGCACATTTATAATTTGATTATGATGAGAACTTATATTGTGGTGTTGTTGGAATTTATGTATTTTGTTGCAACTTCTATTTTTAAAGCATTATGTATGTTGTTGGAATTTATTTTAAGTATTTATGAATTCATTTTAAGTATTTACCTTGGTTTTTAAAGCTCACAATAGCGGTCATCCCGCTATGCCGCTATAGCATTTTGGGAGTCCGGCACTATGCGCCGCTGAGATTAACAACCTAGGTTGAAACTAATAAGATTCTAAAAGTGAAAGCTTTTTACCCAAAAAAGAGTTGGAAAATTTATAAGCACTTTATATAAATATCCTAGAACAATGAACCAGGAACTAGAAGTTTAAGATCTCAACCCATGAATGCTTCAATGTTAAACATGAAAATCTTCAATCCAGTTAAATAAATTTGTTATACATGATAAACGCAGAAGCAAAATAAATGGTTTGCATTTGTCTGGAAGAATGCACCTTTGAGATATGAACACCAAGATTGCGATGCACTCCGGAGCATTCAATACACAGCAGTATACCAAGGTTTAAAGATGCCCAGTCTGGTTCAGGAGTACTGCACTCAGCACACTTGTCATTCCCAGGAATTCCCCTTAAAATTTTAGAGACACTACCCACTTCTTTGGAATATACATCATCCATCGAAGATTTATTACTATCCTCTTGTTGACTTGTCAAGGAAGAACCAGTTGCTGAGTTTTTATTTTGTAATTGCAATTTACCATAATGAGGCTGCAGCAATTAGAAATGGAAAAATGTTTACATCACATCATATTATGGACATATTGGTAAGAATTTACGTTTCAAAAAAGTTGAGTGGATAACCTGTTGAAGAAACTGAAAATTAAAAAGCGAGGTGATAGCTCCAGTAATTTTGTTTACCCAGTCCATTCTATCAGCTTCATTTTCAGCCTGGTGAAATCACTTTAAAAGTAAACTAACAAAGAAATCAATCCAAAAGAAAAATAGACTAGGATACATGAATTGATAGAAGATCTAACAAGGAACCTTGACAACTTTAACAAACAGAATGTCAATTTTTTAATATTTACGTTTAAATAAATAAACAAATGAGAGGTCGGTACAAAGAACATTTTTTTGGTTCTCACCAAGATAATTTTAAACATTACAGAGGCTGATTATATGACTCATTCGAAAATATGAAATAATTCCCTCGGTCACCTGCAGTGTATATGTTTTTGAGGGAGAAATGATACGGAAGCAAAGTCGTAGATCAGTATCCTCTGCGTCCATCTTTATAGTGGATGTGCACAGATCAACTGTACAAGAACCCAAAATATCCTCATTTAGTGACGCTGCCCTACTATGCCTTGAACGGAATCTACCAAACATGCCACTATTTTGTTCAGAAGAACGACTATAATTATATGACTGAAATCCCTGTAAACATATTTCAAAGAAAAACATTAGTAGATTGCTTGAGTTGCTTCAGATATGAAAAAAGTATTCCTACCGCGGGTTTGGGTCCTTTTGATCTGTAATAATATAAACTCCCATGGTTATCAAGTACAAAAAAACCTTCTTTTCCAATCTCCTCGCATCCTTGATGATCGTTTTAACAGATAGCCTTGCTTAACTGTTTGAATCTAAAAACAGGGAGAAAAAAATTACACTGCAAGACTAAGTATAACATCAAAATAAAGATAAAAAGCAATGTACCTATCGTGAACTGGAGAATTATCATTTATTAACCAGAAAATGTGAATTACTTGCCTCACCTTTGGTTGCAGACTGCATCCTGCTTCAAAGCTTTTGTAAGAATTCAAACCTACAGGATGGGTGCCATCAGCACCTGGCATGGGTATATTTTCAACTTCTGTCTGTGTCCTGTATTCCTGGATCCGTTTTGCAAGCTTATCTTGCTCAATATTAGCCACTTCTTTAGATTGTTGAGCATACGTTAGCACCTAAGTTAAGGACAGCCACCAAATATAAAATAGATAGTGAATTTGCACGACGCGGTCTAGTTTGGAGTTTTCAAAGCCACCAGCATCAAATATTTATGAGATTACTTCAAACTTGATCCTTATAAAACAAAACTTACTCAAAGCGTATATATTCAACAGTCACAATGTACAATTACGACATATTATTTATTATGTGCTCCAAGCCAGTTCGAAGAACAAACAGCATAGAATAAACAAAACAAGAGCAGAATAATGCCTTCATAGTAAAAGTATAAGATAACAACTCGCAGGAGATATCTTCTCAAGCTGCAAGAAATTCAAATTACATACATGATACAAGAAATTCGAACACAAACAAAACACTCGGCCCCCGTAATGATGCTCCCTTTATTTAGTACATCTACTAACTTCTTTAATCAAATAGTATATAATAAATTTTGTTTGGGCAAGGATTTAAATCAACACTTTTTGCTACCCGCAAGTAACATTGCGAGTAAACATTAAATGAGACATTAGAGACAATCACTAGCCTTCAAAATTTCTTTTGTTTGGATCATATTCCAGAAATATAGGATACAAGTGTTGGAAAACATTTTATTTCCCTATTTTTTTGTTTCTATTTATTCTCCATTAATTTCCTTTATTCTTCATTAAAAAGAGAATTAATGGTAATTTATGGAATTCCCACTATATAAACGGAGTCTGAGTCTAAGGAATAAAATATAACAACATTTACCATTCTCTTCAATATGGTATCAAGAGCACTAGGATAGGGTTTTACGGTAAAACTTTCCACAACTAGTGGAGTTTGGGGCATAGTCCTTAAAAAAATTTCTGTTCACAAACAAATATAACATATAGGAGAGGATTATTTTTCATGTGCTCTCTTGCTCACTATAACCAATAATGTGGGTTAAATAACTCGTAGAGAATGATATTGAGTTCACAAACTTAGAAATGGTGCCTAATCTATCCAATCAATTAGGGGAGTACATCAGTAGGATAGGCACAGAATGAGGGGGATTCCATTCTGACATTTTGCTGAAATCTATTAGAAGGAGATCATTCTTTGGTTAGGAGCTTAGGCTCCATGATATTCCATTACATTCTCTAGTACATGCTGCTGATCTCATTCATTTCTATTAATACAAATAATATATTTGGCCTAATTATGTTACTGTTTTATCACTTTTGCTATTTCTTCTGTTATTTGTATGGCTTCCATCACAAGCACTGAATAATAGAAACTTCATTTCTAATTCTAATTATATGCCAGAACCATAAAGCTTAGGTTATTAGGTTTAGAGGCATGAATAGTTTTATACCATATCTTAACATGATCCAATGTGCTGATAATCATAAAATATCTTCCCTTGTAAGAAATGAACAAAAACACTAGTTACCTGGTGAATATAAGGCTCCATTTGGCTCAGTAAGTCATAACCCTAAAGTATAAGATGACATGTTAAGTGCAAAATAATAATAAACCATGAAAATTCAAACATGAAGAATAAGCAACCAATTTACGGACCAGTTTAAAGTATCTCAAATGAGCGTCCATTATTGCACTTATCGACTCCAAGAACTCGTACTTCTTTTTCACTTCAATATTCATGAGAGAGTGTACCTGCACTCCTTAAAATCCAGTAGCCAAAGTCATAAAATAAATAGGGTTGTTGAAATGTCTGAACAAAACATTAATAACTGTAAAAGACATACTAGATTGAAGCGGCTTTTCTCAAACGATGACTTTGAATTTTGTAGACCCTGTCATTGATCAAAGTATCATATAATTGATTAAGGAAAATGCTTATTTGTAAGAAAAAGTGAAAACAAGAAAGACAAGAATAAATCTCAACCATTCCTTATCACAACCACCCCCATGATCCCTATTAAAAAGGAAATTCAATTTATAATAAATTAAAATTATCCACTAAATCAATGACACATGTACATTCTTGTGTTTCTTACTTAAATTCATTCGTACTAAATAGCATTACTCAATTGATTAAATATTGGACTTACCGATAGTTGTTAAAGAATATGACAAATAAAGAGAGAATGCAGTGGATTATAAATGTCAGCAAATGTGTAGAGTCCTCTATGAATCAAAACCAACAATAACAAGAAGAACCGAGCCTTATTCCACTAGGTGAATTGGTTACGTGAACCAAGCAGTATTGCTGAATTCACAAGATATGTGAAAAGGGAAACCTAGTGCTATAAAGCTCCTGTGATGGCAAGGACCCGAAAGGATCTAACCCACTGTAAATCTATTATACATAGCCTTAGCCTGTATTTGTAAGAAGCTAACTCCATAACTCAAACTTGTGAACTATTTGTCACATAGAAGCAGCACCAATCACTGTGCCAAGGTTTCACAAGATATATCTCAGCAATATCATTTTTAGGTTGTCTCTTTTCAAGTTACTTATTAAAGAAAGAATAATGAACTATCGTAGATTGAGGTTTTTTAATTCTAAAGGACGAATGATGAAGAGTATAAAAATGGTGAAACTTTTTCAACCTTTTACCACTAAATACAAAACTAAGGAGTCAGCAAGACAAAGAACACAAATCACTTCAATATTCATTACCATAAGAGTAACAAATTATATTTAAGCAGGAAAGTGATGAAATACAGGGCCCGTTTGTTTCAGCTTTTTCTAAAAATGATTTTTATAGTGTTACATATTTTTATTTTTTTTTAAATTACAAAGATTTTTTTTAAAAAACTTCAAATGAAAAATTGGTTTAAATAGTTATTCTTAAAATATTATTTTAGTTATTTCATCATTTTGCTATAACATTTTTTGGAAATCAAAATATAAACAAAAATCACTTAAATTTGAAGCTATATCAAATAGCTTTTCATAAAAATCATTTTTGAGATACATCTTTTTTTTTAAATTGTGATTTTGACTATGTTTTAATCTTCAATAATGTATATGTATGTTACATGATGTTAAAATTAGTCTTTCAATTTACAAAAAACAAATTTAAAAAACTTATAATATTTTAAAAAATGTTTTTTGAAAATACAAAAACATTTAAGTATCTGAGTTCAACTCTCAGCTGGGCCATTTTCTTTTTCTTTCTTTCTTGATTCTTTAGCCTTACTTCCAATTTCATTTAAGTATTGACTTAGTTTGTTTTGTAATTATTTCATTATAAAACACAAAAATATTCTTGTTACAAATTAATATTTTATTTTTTTAACATGTTATTTAACCTTTTATTTAATTTTTCGTTATTTATTTAATTGTTTACAAATGAATGCTAGTATAAGTTAATTTTCATTATTTATTTGTTCAATTGTTATGTTAATTAATTTTGTCTTTGATCGTTAATATCTTTCGCTCGTCTCAAATCCAAGGGAAATATTTTGACTTTGTTAAACTTCACGTCATCAAACACGTCTCATTAATTCATAAACCCCATGCATCAATTCATACTGATTTCAGGTCCCAAAACAGAAGGTTGAAAAGTCTATGAGTCGACACAAAATGCGCATGTGTCGATATAAAGAAGGTGTATGAGTCGACACATCCCATTATGTGTCGGCTCATACTGAGCTGATTTTTCTTTACAGGAGCAAGGAAAAGTTATGTGTCGATGCATAACAGCATGTGTCGACACATAATGGTTCAAAAGGCAGTTTCTCCCATTTTCTACACTGTTTATGCATATATTTTCATTGCTTCCCAGTTGTTCGATATGGTTGTAATAATTAGACACTTATTTCATCCCTATTTGCAAATTGTACCCCCATCCCCCTAATGATGTAATAGCTTAGGATTTTATTTTCCGTATTTTATGTTACTTTCATATATTGCTAGTAATTAGGATGTATGTCAAAATAAAATCAACAAATAGATAACCTTTAAATGCAAGACAAAATGCATGCAAACAAACACACTTTCACACTAGCACCTCTAGGATAATCTCACTTTGTTTGCCTTTCGAAAAACAGTCATGTCCCTCGAATATGGGATGCTTTAGCAAAGACCCTTTTAGAAAAAAAGATCGGCGTCCATCGATGTCCCTCGATGTTGCCTTTGATAAAACGATCTAGTCCCTTACGAAAAATTGGTAAAGCATCTCATAAGTTGCCTTCTATGGCGATACAATGACCCTTGCCCGTCCCTTTTACATCCAAATATAGGATTACTTACCAAATTAATGGTAAGTTAACAATGTTAAAGGAAAGAGGAAATAAGCATGAAAGACTTTTTGAGTAGGTAGAATACTCCTAGTTGCTTGCTCAATTTCAAAACAAAAACATCCTTGTTATTTTCAAACCAAAACATCCTTGCTATTTTCAAAACAAACACTAACACTTTCAAAAACACCTTTCAAACTTGAAACCATTTTCAAAAGATCAACACTTTGTATACATTCTTATGAACGAGAATCATTACAAAGTTTGCCTAAACGATGGCGCCTTTTCAAAATACTTTAAAAAATCACACCAAGCACATTTTCAAACAAAAGCAAGTGATCTAGAAAGTAACTAAGATCCTATGGAAAACCATGGATGAAAAGGGTACTAACACCTTGCCTTTTCATGATCTACCCCCCGAACTCAAGAAAACATCTCTAAAGGTCTTTCCTGTTATTTTCAGCCTTTCCTTTTGGATAAAATAAAATTCAGTGGCGACTCTTGCTAACCGCAACATTTGCGAATACAAACGCAAAACAACCAAGTCAGTTCTCCTACAGTATCACAGAACTGACGACTCTGCTGGGGAATAACTCAAAAGTGGGGTTACCTTAGGGTTAGATCACATTTACTTGTTTCATTGATTAACTTGTATGCTTTACATTATGGTTCTTTGTTTGGGATTGAATCCTTTACCCGGATTTGGGATGCCTTATAGGTAATAAGCAATACATTGTGGAAACTGTGCGGGGTATACCGACATGGTCTAAGCAATAGCTACGTTAGTGCGACATATTTGTGGGTACCGTTAGCCCTTGTGTAGTCAAGGAGAATACGAGGCCGCTGAGTGATGTCATGAAGCATTAACTAACTTCTAGAACCTTTACTTGACCACTTGGCCATTAGGACGTAGTGAGATGACCGGCTTTGGTGCAGTCCGAAGTTGGTAGATACTCGATACTACACTCATCGAGGTTTGGTTTTTTGGGATATTTCGGTCGCCATTAAAGAGGCTCGCGCTGAAACAATGCCCAAGGAAACAAACCAGAGATATTGAGCTCTTTAGAACCCGGTTACTATTGCTAGGACATGTTTGAGCCAACTAAACTTCAAGAGCGTACTTACCTATGAGATTTCATGCAAGCTTAAACCTAAGGACTTGTTTGTTTTGTTTGTGTATCTATACATGTACATAACATTATAACATCATAACATCATACTCATATTCACTAACCATTTCAAGGATCTTGGGATTTATCTTTGTTCTGTTTTGTAGGACATGGATTCTATTCGTAGGAAAACTATTCAAGTCAACCTTGTAAGGATCCCTCCTCAGCTTAAAGAGCTAGCATCAAGGATTCCTGAAAATTCTCCATTCACCAAAAGACTTGGTCGCCTACTAAACTTGGTCACCTCAAAAACTGATGAAGATATGATGAAGGCGCTCTTCCAATTCTTTGATCCTCTAAACCATTGCTTCATATTTCCCGATTATCAACTTGTTCCAACTCTGGAAGAATTCTCCCAACTCTTAAGGATTCGCATTCTCAATCAACTACCTTTCAATGGTACAAAAATAGATCCAAAGCCATAAGAGATTACTCAAGCTCTACACTTGCAACCATATGATATCACAACTAATTGGGAAACGAGGAGTGGTGTCAAGGGTTTCCTGGAAAAGTTCTTGTTTGAGAAAGCCCAAAACTGTTGGAACTCTTTGGATTTGCAAGATTTTGAAGAAATTGTGGCTCTCCTCATCTATGGGATGATTTTGTTTCCAAACCCTGACCAACTCATAGATGTGAACGCCGTCTAAATCTTCATGTCTCGTAACCCGATGCCTCCTTTGCTTGGAGACATCCTACATTCTTTTCACAATCGCACTATAAGGAAAAGAGGTATCCTTATGTGTTGTACTCCTCTCTTAGCAAGATGGTTTATTTCGCATCTTCCCCAATCTGTATTGAGGAACGAGCAAGGTTCAAGGTGGTCACATAGGTTGATGACACTCAAACATTCAGATATTCATTGGTGTTCCCGGTCTATAGAGAATGTTACTATTGTCGACCGTTGTACAGAATTCCCTAATGTCCCCTTACTTGGCATCAGAGGAGGTATCACCTACAACCCTTTCTTAGCTTTAAGACCATTTGGTTACGCTTGAAGGGATGGCCCACACGAGATGCTCATTCAAGGTTTGCTATTTGACTACAAGAACAACGATCAAGGTCACCGCCAGAGATTTATCTGAGTTTGGTGGATGTTGAACAAGGTAGATAGCAAGACATTGGGGCATAAGAATTCCATCCCTCTTGAGCCTTACCTCAAATGGGTACGAGCTCGTGCTCAAAGTCTTATAATGCCTTACCCCTTCATTCTCCCGGTTATCATAGAGCCTATTGTGGAAGGAGATGTTACCTACACTATCCTACATCCTGACATGCCCACCTCTCTTGAAGACTTAAAAAGGGATTGGATACAACTTAAGGGGGAGCGAGATACTTTCAAGGCCCAATTCTATGCCAGCAAGAAGAAGGTTTTGGAACTCACTAAGCAACTTCATAAGGAGAGGACTCTAAACGCCTACATTGCACCAAAGAGGATGCGTACAACCTTTTTATCTTAGAATTTTTGTATTTCTTTGTAAGCCCAAAGAGGCATGATGTACTCAAGCTTTGACTTATTAATATAACGTGTGTT